ACAGAGTAGCAATAAGTGGTTTTTTTTTAAATTAAATATTGATTACAACTACTCACTGTTTCCAGAATGTAACTAAATTTAAAACGAAAACCGATCGTGATGTATTTCCAAACGCAAGTCGTAGGTAATTGAAATTAATGCAGTTGAATAATTACTGAATTTCAAAAAAGAGAAAGTGTTTACTATGATATTAAGAATATTGAATTTTTGAATTATCTTATTCCACAAATTATACAAAATGCTACACCAAACGAGAATCGTAAAAGCTTTATCCGGTTTGTACCTTCTATACAATTTTATATTGACGACGAAAACAAGAAAAGATTAATGACGCTTAAAGCCTGAAAATTCATCATAATAAGAGTATAACCAAAATCATGGGACGAGCAAATTATTGTTATACAGATTAATGTATAAATTATGTATTATATATCAAAAGATCATATAACATTTGCTGTTTGGTATAACTTAAGCTATAATAACTTGTTTATTGTTCATAGGGGAATATTATTACATTGCATTTGGCCTTTAGTTCTGTTATGAATGCGATTTTCAAATGATACACAATTTATCATCTTGTTACAAGTTCTATTTATAGATGCAGATAATTGTACCAGATATTAATATCGATACGATACGAGTAAAACAGTCATTATTTGACCTCTGAACGTGAAAAGACGTTAAAGTCTTCAATCCTTGCAAATCAAAACAATGTTCATTTTATAATAAAGGAATGGGATAAAATAAAAATTGAATATGAACCACAGCCTTACCCACACTTATATTTACTAACATTAACATCTTTGTATAAGTCATCTTTTAGAAAAATATCTCTGTTTTGGGGGAATGGCTGTGACTCATATTTTCATATTAATGATATCATGAGTGATCACAAAATGAAGCTTATTGACAGGTTTTATAGTTTGTTTGAAAACAATCTGAACCCTTACAGCAAATAAGATATAAAGATTATTTCCATCACACTCAAATTACTTTGACCATCTGAGTTCATTCAGTCACAACAACGAACACTTGTCTAGTGGAAATATTTTTCTTTTTTGATTTTTTTGGTACACAATCATTCCCATCATCTTCCCCGGCTAGCCAAGGGTTACGATCCAGTCCCCTGAAAAGAGGAAGGAACTGGATCATAACCCTTGGCTAGCGAAGATGTCCTTCCATTTGAATAGTTTGTTTAATTACAACATTTTGTTAAAAAAAAGGTTTAAAATTCCCTTTTTCCCTAACAAAATATTACGGTGCAGTCCGTTGTATCCGCGCACCTAAGACTTTTGGCTTCACTTTGAACTCATAAAACCAATAATCGGATAATATTGTGTTAACAAATTCATGACAAACTTTAATTTCATAAAATCTTCTTTAAGTATGGTTTCACCTTGAAGATTGTGTGTAATGCTTGTCCAAAATTAGGAAACCCCTGTTTTGACCTTCAATTGTCCGGTGATTTCGCGCATCCCTTCTAAAAATACCTTATTTTGAATAAAGGAATGATTTTATATTACGAAATATAGCTCAGTTTGAACCAAATGGACTGCAAAGGATGAGGAGCAAAATTTATTTCATTTTGATAATATTTGACTTTAGATGAAACCAATTTTATCTGATGATGTAATTTTTTATGGGAAATGGCTTAATATGGTTGACCATTAAATTGCAATTATAAATTTATGCTTGAACTTTTCAATTTTAATATTTTCTGCCCTTTCGGAAGACTAAAACTATTCTGTTTGTGTTACATTGCCGATATGACGAAATCAGGTAATGCGCGATATTACCGGCCGCGCGGACACAGGGGACTCCACTGTAATTCTATTCAGATATGATCGGGTTATTTTTAATTTTCATTGATTAACACATGAAATGGAGGTATAATCCAGACAGATGAGTAATCATTGAAATCAAGAGAATGGCTATTTTTTAGTAAAAATGCAATTTTGTGACAGTCAAAAAAAAAAATCTTTGAAAATGAAATAATGAGTCAAAATTGTTAGCAAGACAAAAGATTAACAAAATATCTCAACATAAAGCTGGCCGGTTGTCTCCACGTAGCTCACTGATACCGCTGAGTAATTACTTTCCCGTGATTTGATGGTGATGTTATGTCTTATTTAAGTAGTGTTTGTTCTTTAGTAGGACATGGTTGCCAATAAACTTTAAGATAATTGATTCAATGGAACTTGATGGTATTGTTTCTTATATAACACGTAATTGTCGGAAATGTTTGTCGTGTCAAATGCAGTTACTGTCCATTCCATGCTGTATTTCTCTGTTTGGTGAGATCAGGGCGTTGTTTGCCATGTTGCGTCCGTCTTCGACTCCAGATATTCTTCATATCTATTTGTTGTGGCGAAGATGTCGTTGTGTTGTATGTATTGCCGCTGTTGACATTTCCATTCATTATCTGTATCTTCTAACATTTGAAACATCTGCCGGGGTAAAACTTTTTTTATTATTCAAACCATTTAAAATATTTCTGTTAAAATATCTTGGAAAGTTGACCGAATTTGCAATTTGTATTTTAGATTGTGTTAATTTCAGTGGCAAATAGCTAAAAAGTAAAATAGCAAAAATACCGAGCTCAGGAAAATTCAAAACGTTAAGTCTTTTATCAAATGGCAAAATCAAAAGCCCAAACCCATCAAAAGAATGGAAAACAACTGTCATATTCCTGTCTTGGTACAGGCATTTCCTCATGTAGAAAATGGTGGTTTTAACTTTGTTTTATAACTAGCTAAACCTCTCAATAGAATTCAATTTACAATATTCTGTTGATTTTACAACATTAAAAGGCCATGGTGACCTTTATGTGTGAAGTATAAAATCTGAAATAGTACAGAGCAGGAAAGATCATTCATTCAATATGCGTGTGTTTCAATGATATCCTTTTCCGAAAGTTGAGCATCCGATTTCGGAGTGTTCTGACCATTCTCCTCTATTTTGATAATGAGTGTTTTACTGGTGTATTGGCTTAGTTAATGTCTCTATTGTTTGTTAAGTGGAATACCACTGTTCAAATTTCCTGAAAACAAATGCTGGAATGTTGGAAAGATTGACGCAATACAAACATGTATGTCATATTGAAGTAACAATGTGATTATTTCCTTGATATGTTGTACATCATTGTTGATCCTGTCGTTCTTTTGTCAGATTAAATAATAGACCTCTGACCTTTATCGGTTATTCTGAATAAATGAAAATTGACACAGGCAATTTCTCCTTCAATAAATTTCTGCTGGTAATTTTTAACAATATCATTTCCCGAATGGCTAAAACAAATCTTCATATTAATTGCGAATATGGAGTAAGACATGTCCCTATAAGATACATTTTCTTGATTATAATACTTTTAAATCTCGCTATCATCGAGTAATGCAATTCCATTCCATATACTTTAGGTAATAAAATAGTAAAAATTTTCAAGAAAATAATTATGAGCTTAGCACTATAATTTCGCCATCAAAGGACCATTTAATAAAACTCTTGTTTTGAGATTAATGAATAAACAAGTCTTTATTTAATGATGTGATGGGTAATAACGTATCTCAGTGGAAGGAAGCGTGGTCAATGAAGGGTTTTATCTGATTAACGATTTTTTTGTGCCATTATTTAAATCATTACTCGAACATATCGCGTCCTGCTGAAAATCATTATTAACAATTTGCTGGCGATAAATCTCGGAATACAAATTACCCTAAGAGGGAAATTTGCAGGTAAAAGGCAACTTATCTTCATCGGATTTTCGGACGTGTAAACGTAGTAGTTAGAAGAGAAATCTAAAGCCGACTTTCGGCATTGTAAACATAATTGTAATTCATCTTGGGAAGTATAATAAAAGTATTTAATTCAGAAACTTGTGTTTTTGGACGTGTACTTAATTGCTCAAGTCGTACCATAATAAAAACAAATTGAGCACAGTGACTTATAATACTAAAGATGAAAAACTTGGCAAGGCATTTAATTTTACAGCAAGTGTAGACCAAATCAAAACGAAAACCAAATCATAACGAGAGTAATGATAGACCGATAAACGGTTAACATCAACACATTGATCCAGTTACCATTCAATTTGAAGACAAAACATTATACTTTTGGATTTGTCGACCAGAGGAGTTCTACATATTAAGTTGACATAAAAGTTGGAATATGTGAGTGAAAACAATTGGCTTTCAGACATCTAGTATTCCAGCAATTGCTGCTGAACTATTTAAGACATTGGTTATCGTAACAGTGATTTGAAAAATAACTTATTTTTAGAAATCCTTTGTTACATGTAAATGACACTAGTAGAACAATGTCGAAGTAAACACTGAGGAAGGAGAATCTACACCATTAACAAAAGTCATTGATGTAGGTTAACAAAAATATGCCGTCTTACTCTTTATTTTATGAAGAATTGAAATGTATAGAAAGTCATGATATTACTAATACAACTTTTGTAAGTCTAAAATGTAATATGTAGCAAATAATCAAAAAAGCAAAATTAATTTAATGTTAATGAAGGTAGCTACGTAGTTTCAAAAATGATTTTAAAACGTGAATTTAGTTATAATACTATGATTAAGAGTTACGTCAATTCAAAGCAATATCTGAAAAAATTAAAAAAGCTATTTAAAACTTTATTTCAAATACACGCGAAGAGAAGTTATACTGTCAATCAAAGAACATCGTCATTCACTTATGTAGTTATTTGATATTTTTTAGATAGTTACAGTTTACATTACAGACAGAGTTCTATGGATAGGAATTAGAGACGACAAGACTCGGATTAAAACGGGAATACTGAGGCTGTATATCAAAATATGTGTACAATGTATAAATCTTAAATTTTAATCCTGTATTATAGATTGAGATTGCGTTTGGATTTTTCATCAGTATATAAAATACATATACTTTTTAATTTCTTCATTGATTTGGATGGAATTGATAGCCTGGAATCAATAAACAACAACAATGATTAGTCTGTGACAATTTTACTGGCTAATTAGTTATACATTGATTATTGTTGGTATTTTTTACTATACGAATGATTTTTGTTGGAGACGAATAGAATTCCTAGGACACAAAATCAAATCTCGAGCATCTCAAGAGTTTACAAAATAAAATAGAGTGGTGCGATCAGCAGTGTTACTTGTAGAAATATTACCAGTGGACAGTTGTAAAAAAGTACGCAAATGTATCATAATTGCTAGCGTCAGTGTAATACAGATATAATATTGTTGTTTTTTGGCGGCAAGATGTAATCTGGAATCCATCATACAAGACATTAGGATGATCAATTTAATATTTTACTCGATAAAGAATGCATGTTAAAACAGAAATATTGCATTCAGTATTTTAAGTATACTTTTGAAAAATCAATTATTTTGCCCGGATTAGTTCATAGCCTCCATAGGATTGTTTTCTAGGATAATTCATATTGACATATTATGTACATTTGATGAATGTATCAAATCAAACTTAGTTTTACATCTATCAATGTCTACGACATTATCGCTCAAAGGATAACGAAGAACAATAATCAAATTAACTTTATTAAAACGTGGACAGTCCCTGCTGGCTGCAAAATACAACAACAACACATCATTTTTCAATACCTTGAAATAAAAAGATTATAATTGTTTAATATATGTAGTCATAACTAAGCTTTTGTGTATTTCTTAAATGTGAATGAAGAAAAAAGTAAATAATCAATGTTAACACAAACATGGGAATTTTGTGACTTATTTGAACTATCAATAAATGGATGCTTCGGAATAATCAAGGGTAATAACAACACAATAAGATACTTATGAATTCTTGTAACAAACATGTGTCAAGACTTACTTCATCTTTACAACTGTGATTGGAATATTTAACAATTGCATTAGTATTCATTAATAGTACAGATCAGCAAGTGTTCGGAAGTACAACTTAGTCAATCCGCAATTCAAAAAGCGGAAAAAAGTTCGAATAAATATCTTTTGCCGTTTTGCTGCTATTTGATTAAGATCTACATACTGCAATAGAACAATAAAATAAGGAAAATCAATCAGAGAGATAACTGTACATTAAATCGGATTTCCCAATACACAGATAAACATCACTGTAATGCTCGTGACATCTACTATGTCATCAGTGCAAAATATATCTCATATCTTTATTGATAATCTGCAGGTGACGGAATCTAAAAGATCGTCTATAGAAATACTTTGGCGAGCAACTGTCCAAAGTCCACTTAATCTTCTTGGGTATCGAGTACATTATCAGAAGATTGCCAGTTCATATATTCAGTACGGACCTCGTTTGCCACCAACAGACCATTCATATAATGTGAACAACCTTGTACCAGATACTTATTACAAGATTTGTCTGTCAATGTTGAGAAATGACAGTTCCCCTTACCAGAAATGTGTAACAGCATCAACACAAAGCTGGGACCTTCCGGTTTCAGTAGGAAGCAGTATAGGGGCTGTTCTTGCACTAGCTATGATAGTGTTGTTGATTCTAATGGTTCGATGTAAATCTGTTCTCCGATGTAAAAGGAAACAACATAAAAGTAATTACGACACGGTATCTCCACATTGTAATGATATATCCCCACATTGTAATGAAAATGTGTTTAATTTTAGTGAAACACACGTCGACGACGATGCCGAACAACAAACCGACATTCAAGTAAACGACCAGAAGCCTCACACAATACATGACCAAGGTGGTACAGCTTCTGGTGCCATTCCAAAAGTACTACCAACAGACCATGGTTATTCAAAGCATAATCTCAAATGTAACTGTGGAATACAGGACAAATATGAATCAAATCCGAATGGCTTTGTACAACAGAGAGACATTATTCCTAAAACATATACAAATAGCTATCATGATCACTACCATGATAATGCGATAATTCTTCACGTGCATGGTAATTCAGGTTCGGATAATGAGACTCCATCATCACATTTTAGTTCTGGAACTAAATATAATGACCAAGTTATAACGCATAGTACAATAGAATCAAACGACTTAGAAGATACTTTTTCTGATCAAGAAGACATTTTTCTAACATTTCCAAATGCAGATTCTAGTTCTACCTCCACAGCAGAAGACTTGGAAATGACAGACATATCTCATGAAGTACCTAGTGAAAAACATTTTCAGACTTCGCTTGACGCTGGTAATGTTTGTAAATAAGGTTGTAATAATCTCTTTTAGGTAAACGTTGTCTCAATTTTGTATTAGAATAGATAACTTTACAACGTTTCATGCGTTTTTCATTTGAACAAAAGCGAAAATTAGAAGACCAGGAAAGTAACCATTAAAATATCGATTTCAAATGCATTGTCTTATGTTTCTGCAAAGTTTATGATTAAATTCAGCTATGTAGAAAGAAAGATATCATTATGGTTTGGGGATTATTTTGGTACTTTGGATGCTAAAAAGATAATAGTTTCATCTTATTATTATTCATGCATAACACCAATTAGAAAATCAGCCGCTAATTTAAAAGTGATCGATACAGATGACCATAAATAAATTTCGGATACCATGATGTCCAAACCTTTTCTTTTTATGGACAATTGTAATACAAAATCTAAAAAAAAGTTTAAAACGTGATAAATAAACGTATTTTTCACTGTTATTTCGCATGTGAAAAAAATTTTGTGACATGTTTCCTGCACCAATAAGGAAGTTATACAAACGATTTGCACTGTTGTCTAACAGTAATTTACACCATATATCTAATTTGTATGCTTCAGTGATCCCGAATTCGACTCAAGTGCTGGATTTCGTAAGGAAATCTGGTTCGTAGTTAAAAATCAATACAATACAACATTTAATTACCGTTCTTAGAATTTGCTTTATAGACGATGGAACATTTCAATTACGGCTCCACATTGTCTCTGATTGTTTGTTGATCATGATTGATCATGTCAATCAGATCGGTTTGGTATCAGTACTCTCACCTAATAAAAATGATCCACTAGCCAGAAAACAGACAAATTTAAAGGCATGCATACTTGAAAGAACAGCATTAAAAATATAAGCCACATTTTTCACAGTTCATATCGATGCCTCATGAAAGAATAATAAACTGTTATCACACAGATATATGTCTCGCCTTTTTTGTAATTTTGATTATGCAAATGTTGAAATTAAAATAGCAATACTTTAACATGTAAGTTATGCAAATATTCAAAGTCAATGAACCATGACTAAAGGTAAATGGTTAAACAATCTCCATGGAAATGACATGTGCCAATGCTAATACAACTGCATACCAAATAACATTGACTTATTATAAGTTGTTCCCTTTAAAACAAACCTAAACACACACGTTAACTTGTAAACTATGTAAAAGTTTCAAAGTCAACGCAATGAACCATTATGAAGGGGTGGGGCTATATAATCTCAATGGAAACAATACTTGCAAATGCCAATAAATTGAAGTCTTAACATTAGCAGTTCATCTTAAACTGATCTAATCACAAACTAATACATGTAAACTAAGCAAAAGTTTCAAAGTCGAAAGACCATGACTGAGGGACAGGGCCAAATATTATCCTTGGAAATGAGATGTGGCAATGCTAATTCAACTGAATACCAATTAACATAGGCCTACTACTAATTGTTCCCCTTGAACTGACCTAATCACAAACTAATACACATAAACTAGGCAAATTTTTCAAAATCAATAAACCATGACTAAGGGGCGGAGCCAAATAATCTTCATGGAAATGAGATATGCCAAATGCTTATACAACTGCATACCAAATATCATTGACCTACCACAAGTGGTTCCCCATAAACTGACCTAATCACAAACTAATACATGTAAACTAAGTAAAAGTTCCAAAGTCAATAGACCATGACTGAGGGGGCAGGGCCAAACTATCTCCATGGAAACAAGATGTGCCAATGTTAATACAACTGCATACCAAATATCATTGACCTACCACTTGTGGTTCACCATAAACTAGACCTAATCACAAACTAATACATTGTTGACGCCGCCGCCGCCGACGCCGCCGCCGGAAACAGCATACCTATGTCTCGCTTTTTGACTCCGTCAAGGCGAGACAAAAACAGTTCCAATCTTTCCAAAAGATTATATTGAAACATTCTTTTTAATATCAAAATAAACAAAAGAATACCCAAACATCTTCAGCATGAGACAAAACGCATTTATCAACTTTTAAACATGTTTTTTTCCTTCGTGAACTTTCTAAATTTTGGTAATCCAAAAATTACGCCAAAGTTGCCAGAACAAAAAAGTTTACAATTTTTCTGACAATAACAACTCATTTGAAAACCAATAGAAGAAAGTTGACATATGGTTGACTTAATTCTCTTTAGCATCAGTATTACTTTTTCTCTCTAGGAGAAACAACAATAATAATACGCTTGTTATTGTTTTAGTTTACCATACCAAGTCATAACAATGAAAAGGACAAGTGACATCCAATAGCTTATAACAACTCAGGAATGTCAATATACTCTGTAATGAAATTCCACACATTTCAAACATTTGTTGTTAAAATCAAAGAAACATTTGCAAGGTGAATAAAAACTGCTTCGCTGAGCGCAGCTGGATACGCCCGCAGTGGTCCAACCCTGAACAGTTGGGGCAAACATGGACACAATATTCAAAGTTCAATTTCTTCTAAATGTCATATTTGAAATTTATGAAAATCAATAGGGAGATTACATCAATAGCTATAAATAATTCACCAAAGTTTCATGAGAACTGCTGAAAGCATGTTTGAGTTATTGTCCAAAAACTGGAAAATCCCCCCTTTTTTAATGAATAAAATCCCATAACTCAGAAATGCAAAATCTAAAATTTATAAAATTCTTAAGGGAGCTTACATCAACAGATATAAACAATTCACCAAAGTTTCATGAGAACTGCTGAAAGCATTTTTTAGTTATTGTCCAAAAACTGGAAAATCCCCCTTTTTATGAATAAAACCCTGTAACTCGGAAACGTTAAATCTAAAATTTATAAAAATCCAAAAGGAGCTTATGTCAATAGATATAAACAATTCACCAAAAGTTCTTGCAAGTTGGTGAAAGCATTCTTGAGTTATTGTCGGAAAACTGGAAAATCATCCCTTTTTAAATGAATAAAACCCCAAAACTCGGAAACGGCAAATCTGAAATTTATAAAAAACGAAAGGGAGCTCACGTCAATAGATATAAACAATTCACCAAAGTTTCATGCATATTGGTTAAAGCTTTTATGAGTTAATGTCTGACATGTTGACGACGGACGGACGGACAGACGGACGGACGGACGGACAGACGGTCAACGGTATACCATAATACGTCCCGTAAACGGGCGTATAAAAAGACTGTTATCAACTATTATATGACTAAAATATTTCTCTTTTCTCATTGGCTAAAACATATAGTCTTCTTTGATAAAACATTATATTCACTGCGGAAAAAATCACGAGAGGTAAATATAAGATTAGGATCAGCTGACGTGTACCTAAAAATAGATATTACAAGGCAACGTCAATGATGTAGGTATATGACGTCCTGCAAATTCTCGTTTTTCTTTTTCTTCTTGTTTTCGGTGTATTTTTTCCTCTTCTTCTTATTTTCGGTGTATTTTTTTCCTTTTTTTCTTGTTTTCGGTGTACTTTATTTTAGTAAACTTTATTGAATATTTCAACTTACGAAATTTAGAAACCACAAAAGCAGATGATATATTTATAAAAACAAGGAGCAGTTTTAAAAGTATCTAGGGCAAATATAAGAAAATTGGAGAAGGTTAAACAGTCATATAATAAAGCAATCGTTGACTTTTTATTTCAGTTGATACAATGATTTATCAACCTCAGATATATGGCATTCACCCTCGGCCGTTCGCCTTGGTGAATATCATATTTCTGGGGATGATAATATATACCTATTGACTGGTTATGAGGGTAATAGCAAGTTTGTTGTCCATGAGATACCAACTATTGCTCGAGGCGAAGCCGAATTAAGTGTTTTGTTATACCGAATAAAACAAATTTATATTAAGACTACATACACCACTTGGAAAAAAAATCAAATAGTCACAAAGACATGCACAAGATGAACTACCAGTTTTTTTTTGCCCGTGTACTATTTGTCAATATTTTATTACTGTAATCAAGACCAGGAATCTTTGTGTAAAAATTCCCGTGCTAGCTAAAATATTTTACCGTACACCAAAGCAATCCTAGATTATGAAGACGACGACATACCCATACCATACATTTGTTATGTTTTAGTTCTTAAAATATGTCGCGTAGATTTTCTTTTTCTTTTTTAAAATTTGCTTCTAGTAAGTAATATATTAATTTCAAATTACGACGACAGATACATTTAAATTATACCGTTTACGATATTTCAGAGTTTAACGTTGCCAAGCGCACAAATCCAACCAGAATAGTTAATTACGTCATTGTTGTCCAATGAAAAATTAGTATGAAACAGTACGGGAAATATGTTTATAAAACTATGGACCAGGGTAATAGTCTTTGAAACTATTGACTGGCAAATAGTCTGTGGAATGGAATTGCAAAAATATTTCATTCTTTTTTATATAGAAAAAAACATACTGAGGTATAATAAATCATTGTATCAACTTCATCAAAAGTCAATAATTGTATAATGTTACTCTGGCTAGTGAAATTTGTACACATGAATGTATCAGCATTGACATACTTATGCTGAAAGTCAAACTTGTTAGCAGAATATGATTTGCAATTTGTTTCTATCATTATAAATGATCAATATTATCTGATAAAACTGCTCGAAATAACCCTGAACATATTAAATATCCACAATTAAACTGATGCATCTCGTAAGAAATATGGTTCAATAAAGAATCCCAAATAATCCGACAAACATTAAACACAATTTGACGTAATTTGTCTGCATGATGTAAAGCTCAAAGTTTTTATTTTGTTCTTTTTATAAAAACGTACACGTGTCAATCACAAATCAATTTCAAATTATACGCATGTTCTGTATGTCTGTTTGATTATGATTTTATATCTTTGGTATTTTGATATCTGAAAAACCATGGAAGTATTATGTTCATTTCACTTCCATGAAAAAACTAAAGGCTTCCATGAGCCTATATCGCGAATCCGACATGTTTGCATCAAATTCATACAGTCACTAAGATTATTTTTGAAAGTTTCTTTAAAATATATGGGTAAACATCATCATTAAAGGGCAACAAATCATATAAGATTCGTGTAACAGTATGTAAATCTTGACATTCTGGCCGTTTTTGCCTATGTCAGATTTTCTACTTCTACAACGGTATACAAGATATTAACAACCATAA